TTCTATTGAATTGCCTATATTCTCAAGTTGATAAAGTGTTCACAGTCATAGTTGTAAAGGCAGTGTATATCGACAAGTGTCTCTATTAGGGCATTTTGGTGAAAGTAAATTGCTGAGAATTCTTATGACACTTGTCTTGTGGTCCTAGTGTGAGAATATGTAGGCTGTTATTCCTTTCTTAGTGATTAAGATTGTTATATTCATAAACATATATATACACAAGCTATCAATGAGCTTGCATGCTAGAAGATATTTTCTGTAAAGTTAGTAGGGGTATTATGGTACATTCACAAAGGAAATTACATATTATTCAGTGGCCAATGATTGGATAATGGTGACACATACATTTCCTCTTTGAGATAGTATATGTAATTTAAGGAGTACTATATATATGTTGTTATAGTATTTTCCTAGGTTTTAAGCCTTCAAGAAAACCCTAAGGCAAGCTGCATTGAGTGAAAAAAGTGAGCTAAATATGCACCACATATTTCTGATATTATTTGTAATGATCAAAGCTTGATTTGAGCTCAGAAATACGCTCAGAGAATTCACAAGAGTAGAAGACCAAATGGAGGCATGTTGCTGTGATTTTTGCTGGTGCAGAAGCTAGTTTGGAGGTTTGAGTTTGGTCTGAGCTTGATGTGGTGCTGAGACAATTTTGAGGCAAGTATAACTTATTATTTTACATCTGCAAAAAATATGTTTGTGACCATCTTTTCGTTGCATTTGATTTTAATGTCTCGGACTTGGTATTAGCCTTTTTACTGGTTTAGCTTGTTGATACAACTTAATATCACTATATATTTCTATGAGTTGCATTATTATCATCTGACCAAGTTTCCATAGTTGAATCAAGGCTATTGAAGTTGAGGGTTGCACATAAATAAGGTTAATATAGAATTTGACCTTGTAAAACCCTAGTTCTTGAAGGTTCTACAGAACTGAGCTATATATGAGTTGTAATTGTGTATCCATGTTGTATTCATCTTAATTATCATTTGATCATGTTTGTAATGAAGATACAAGGCTATAGATTTCATTTCTAATTTCGTGGGACACGAAATTCCTATTTTACCCTTAAAATCCTAGTTTCGGCAAAATTAAGACAAGGTGTTTGTATTGATACTTTGAGCTGATTATTCATTCTTATCATGTGTAATAGCTTAAGTATTGTTGTAATACATCTTTTTATATGTATTTGGTGAGCTGTGAGAGCTTGCAGGGTCCAAGCAGGTTTGCTTTGGACAGGGGGAATGCAGAGTGCAGTTAGTGGTGCTAGTGTGTTATCTTGTACAAAGGTATGTGCAGAGAGTAAGACAGATGAGTCTGTAACTACTTCCATGCAACTAGTGGATATTTCATTGGCTAAGGCCAAGAACCAAGGGTTTTCCCTATTGAGAGGGTTTTCCTTATAAATGCACTGAGTACTTATAAGTGTGTGCAAGCTTATTGAATCTGTCATCATTTTTGTCACACTATATTGATCAAACAAAGAAGAAAAGTTTTATACAAGAACCAATTCACCCCCCTCTTGGTTTGTCAGATACTACTATCCATGCAAGCTCACATTACAATACAGTTGTGAAACTTGGAACCGCACGAATGTCACCACGTGGAGTCCGTGAATCAAATCATAAGCAAGAAGGGATCAATAAGCCACTATAGAGATGACACGTGGTGAGTTCGATGGGAACTTGCCGCACCAGATTAATATTCCAACAACTGGAAAAGGAAACTACATTAAGGGTTGAAAAATAAATGTTACCATGTAGGTGGTTCCACTAAGAAACTCAAGTCTGAAGCGTGAAACAATGTAGATGCTAACACATGGTACTGAAGCCAAGGTCAAGGGTAAGTGAGATCTGGTGAGATGAGAGTCCACCAAAAGGGCACATGCAATATATAATTGTTACATAATGGATATCAGATTATCCATATAAAAGGGTCAAATTATATTTGACTATGTCAAATAAGGAGGTGACCGTCCACTCCTATAAAATCTTCATTTACCATACAAATAGGAGTTGCTCCTTATACATGGAATAGGTGTGTACACGAGAAAATTAAGACTAGGTTCATTAATAAAGAATTTAGGAGTCTTGAGTCTTGCTAAATTATAGCAAACTGGTTTATGAATTAAATCGTGGGTGGCTATTAAAATTAGCGGGGAACGTGTATATATACTTTGGTATAAAAACAAAAGAAGTTCTATATGAATACAACTCAGAATTCAAAAGGGAGGAAGATTTATGCACACGAAAAAGAACTGCTAGATCGTGGGACACCTGGCACTGCAGAGACATGCCAGGCGAAAGTTTCCAATTGATAATGAAGTTGCCATTTCCGACTTCAAGGAAGTCATTAAGGATAAGGGACCAGAATCCTCTCCTGTTGAACAGGAGAATCTGTTCCTTCTGTTTTCACTATAGCAGTGGTAAAAAAGGCCAAATAGTACTTTGGGTAAAAAAAAGTACACACACATATATGAACAATACACATACAAAAAATTATACATACATACACGAAATTTTTCCTATTGAAACTCAGATTGAAGAGGCATATTGGAAAATCCAAAACAGATTTAGCGCCTCTTCTAATATTCTTTCTTCTTCTTCTCTCTCCCAGTTTTTCCTCCTTCTTTCCAAATGTACAATTTCTTTCCAAAGGTTTTATTGAACGTCGGCGGAGAAAAGGAAGGCACAATTGCGAATCGGACCTTCTAAATTTCTAATCTTGTTCCTTCTTCTTCTCTCCCGATTTTTCTTCCTTCTTTCCAAATTTACAATTTCTTTCCAAACATTTCATTGAATGTCGGAGAAGAGGATGGTACAGTGACGAAGGTATGTTCTTAATCTGCTTTTTTTTTTTTCTCTCCCTAAATATAGAATGAAATACAATTTGTCTTCCCAAAAAAGTCCCAGCTTTCCTTAATTTTGTTCTTTCCAAAATTACAATTTGTTTGGAAAGGTTTGATTAAACGTGGGGAAGAGGAACCTTCAGTGTTGGAGATGAGGAAGCTACAGTGATGAAGGTATATTCTTAATCTGCTTTCTTCTTCTCTGCCTAAATATAGAATGAAATAAATTGTCTTCCCAAAAAAGTCCCAGCTTTCCTTAATTTTATTCTTTCAAAAATTACAATTTGTTTGGAAAGGTTTGATTGAACGTGGGGAAGAGGAACCTTCAGTGTCGTGTGTTTGGTAATTCTTGAACTGCTATTAAACTGTGAAAAATTAAATGAGAAATTGTGAAAATTATATGATTAAATTGTGTAAAAGTTGTGATATTCTGTATTAGAAGTTATGTTATGTTTTAAACTTCAATTTAAGATGTTAGAATAAAATATTCATTGTATTCTTGTAATGCAGTGTTTTATTCGTGATAAATACTACAATATATTTGGGATATTTTGTATAATAAGAAATGGAGCTTTTACACTTCCAATTTAATATGTTAGAATAAATTTTCCATTGTATGAAATGTAAGTTCCCCTTGACAGTTATGATTGTTCATTATAAATAACTCAAGTTAGTTGTAATGTTTCTCAAAATAAGCCCAAGACCTTCCCATCATTTCCCACTAACTAATGCTCCCACATTTCATCATTCTCAGTTAGACAAGTGTGAAAAGTAAAGAAACAAATAAACAATGAAGTAAAAAAAAAAAAAAATCCTCTTGACTAAATTAGTATATTTCAATATCTTTGAAAGTTTGATATATATATATATATATATCAATAAAAGAGTGAAGGAGAACTAATGCAAATTCTTTTCAACACAACGTTCTGTTCTTGTTGTTGTAACAGTGAATTGGATTTGAATAGTTGACTTGTTCATGTCCTTTTGACCCTTTATTTCTATGCTCCCCTGTTTCTTCATCTTTGGGAAGAAGTGGTCAGTGGGTTTTGAATTACAAAATTACAAACTCACTGTGTCACTGTGTGTGTGTGTGTGTGAGAGAGAGACAGACAGACAGACAGAGACAAAGAGACAGAGAGAATGGGTTGTCTGGGACTTTAAGTTGCAAAGAAGGCAATGTGTCTCTATCTTTTCTATCATGGGTTTTAATCGTTGTGAGAGATGGGGGCACTATGCTTGCTACTCCAATACATTTGCCTATGTCTTTGGGTATGTATCTTTCTTTAAAATTAGAGAAATAAAATTTTTATTTTATTTTTTTTTTCTTCTGATTATTCATTAATAATAATGCTATTTGGAGTGTTTTTTCTTTGATCATAATCTTTGGACTCCTTTTCTTATTGTACTTAATTTACTCTGTTACTATCTGTGTGGTAGCTCTTATGATGTTCTCTGGTTATTTATATTATTAGTATTATTCTTATTATTTTTTATGTATTTAGTTTTGAGTTTTGGATTAAAATTTATTCTCTTTTTTGTTCTAGGGTGTTGGTATAGTTATCTTTAGCTAATAACATGTGCACTTTCTACAAATGTTTTAGTTTTTTCCTATTCTCTCTTTAATATTTGTTGGTTGTTGGTTTGTCTTTGTTTGAATTTCTCAAATTAGTTGGGGTGCTGATTGGTTGCATGATTAGCTGCATCACACTACTACTCTTGGTTGCATGACATGGAAATGGTTTTCCAATTTGTATTGTTGTTTCTTCTTATACCCCAAACTTAACATGGTTGTAGTGTTTCTCAAAATAAGCCCAAAGAAGTTTGCAAGTTCATATTTGATTTGGAAAAAGTGAAATGAATAATTGAACACAATTGTAATTTTTATGAAAATAGAAGGTCCAAAAAGGTTGGAAGTGCATGTTTGACTTGGAAAAAGATAAATAAATCATTTATTTTGTTATTTGTAGCAAAATTAAAATATGTGCAGTTGAGGAAGTTGGTTCCCTGCCCTGATACATTATACTATCTTGAATAATGGTAGTAGGTCAGAAAATATTTCCAATTAATAATCCATACCTACAACACAGCCCTTCGTTCAAATGTAATTTTTATATATTGTAGGTTTCTGATTTCAATTATTGGAATGGAAGAGGTATTAAATAACATCGAAGACACCACATATACAGAAAACGCTCCTATTGCACAGGCAGGTGTCGTAGAATGGAAACCAAGAATAGGTATGAAGTTTGAAACTGAGGAAGAGGCATATGATTTCTATAATTCATATGCCGATCGAGTCAGTTTTAGCATCCGCAAAGAGTATTTTAATAAGAGCAAGAAGACTGGTAAACTGTCATCGAGATTGTTAACATGCTGCAAAGAGGGTTTCAGGGGTGACAACATTCGGGACAGTAATATAAAGACTCCCAGGGCTAAAACACAAACTGGTTTCCCTGCTCGAATACTTATACAAGTTTCCAAGTATACGCATAAGTTGGAAGTTACAAAATTTGTTGAAAGCCACAACCATCCATTGATGATTGATGAATACATGCACATGCTGTCATCCCAGCGTAGAATTAGCCATGTTCAGGTCATTAATTTGGAATTGGCTTCTGATTCAGGAATAAGCCCTCGCAATTCATATGAGTTGATGGGAAGGCAAGCTGGTGGAAAACAATCAGTCGGGTACATGAAGTTGGATTTACTAAACCATATAAGGTCCCGAAGACAAACTGAGCTCGAATATGGAGAGGCAGCATGGCTAGTGAATTATTTTGAGACTCAGTCTTGTGAAGATCCATCTTTATTTTATGCATTCCAATTGGATAGTGATCAAATGATCACTAACATATTCTGGGCTGATTTAAAAATGAAAGTTGATTATTGAAATTTTAGAGATGTTGTAAGTTTTGACACAACATACAAAGTTGTACATGGCAACCGTCCATTTGGAAGTTTCTTGGGGTTGAATCATCACCGGGAGACCGCTGTGTTTAGAACAGCGTTCATGTATGACGAGACTGCAGAGTTGTTTGTGTGGTTGTTTGAAACATTTTTGAAAGCTATGTCCGGTAAAGCGCCAAAGACGATCTTCACTAATCAAGATGCTGCAATGGGAAAGGCATTGACGTAGGTGATTTTAATTCAGATCTCCACTCTTTGCATTTTCAAATTTTTATTGAGTAGTTGGACGTGGTAAATGTTTTTATGTAGTTATATTACAGAAAATAGTTTTTGCAGGTGATGCCAAGGACAAACCATTATCTGTGTGTTTGGCACCTAATGCAAAATGCACAGAAGCATCTAGGGTTGTTGTTTAGACGTGCGCAAGGCTTTAAAAAGGTGTTATCAAAATTAATATTTGAAATTGAGGAGGAGGAAGAATTTACCAGGGAATGGAATATAATGATAACGGAAAATGGTGTTGTTGGTAACACATGGCTTACAAATCTCTTTGCTTTAAAACATAGATGGGCTATGGCATTTATTAAACATACCTGGTCCACGGGTATCCACAGCACAAAACTGAGTGAAAGCTGCAATGGTTGCTTGAAGGCGTACTTATCCGGGCAACTGATTCTTCCAGATTTCTTCACACACTTTGAAAGGTTGTTGTCCGACAAGCGTTACAAGGAGTATGTAGCCGAGTATGGGTTACTCCACAATCTACCTCAACTGAAAACAAACTGTAACATATTAGTAGAGGCGGCAAACCTGTACACAAAGGTTATATTTAATATTTTCCAGGATGAGTTCTTAGCAGCTGCTGCTAGTCAGAGGATCATTGGTTGCAGTCCCATCGATGGCAACGGAGGCTATGTTTACAAAGTCGTTGGTGAGGATGGAATGCAATGCGACGTGAGGAGGACAGTAGAAGATGAATTGTTATGTTCTTGTTGTAAATTTGAAAGGGAGGGTATTATGTGTAGGCATAGTTTGAAAATCCTAAAAGACTCCATGTTCACCAATACATTGCCTCGTCGATATATATTAAGAAGGTGGAGTAGAATTGCAAGAGATGGCAGGTTGGAGGAAAATCTTTCCGGTGAAGTGATTGCCGAAACTGATCCAAAAATTGAGGTTAGGAGACAGCACAGGGTACTTTGTCGTATTCTGACTGAAATTTCGTCCATTGTATCGGAGGATAAGGACGGATACAATGATTTATTAGTGAAAGCCATGGAGTGGAAAAAAATTGCCCAATCAAGTTGTAGGCATAGGTTTACTGAGAGGAATGGAATTTATACTGGTGGTAAAGACAGAAACCAATATGTCGGCATGAACAAAAATACTAACAAAATCCCCAATGGTCTCAAGTGTAAAGATACATGGAAAGGAAAATTTAAGAGGTTAGAACCGACCATGGAGCTAAAGAGTCGCAATAAGACGAAATCAATAAAACAAACAGTTCAGCTTCAGGTACTTTTATCCCCTTACTGTTGTCCAAGTAGTTTCATAAGTAATACCAGTTCTGTGTATTAAATGATGCATACGTAATAATTCTTATAATTGTGTTGTAGAATTGCAATGAAGCCCTTCAATCAGGAGAGGCAGGTGGCAGTAGTCATAGTGGAACAATCCCCTACTACGTGTTAGTGAATGTAAGTATTGTTGCATAACTATTTTCAGCACATTGCTTAACATTTGTTTTATGTTATTCCCCCCCCCCCCCCCTAAATGATAGGTGTGTAATGACCCGGTCATTTTCTTCCTTTTCCCTTTTTCTTCAAATTTTGCGGATAAATTTTTTTTCCATTATCTTTTCCTTTTCAGGTTCGATTTCCTGCCTCTCAGTGTCGTCTCGAGTGCTCGAAAATGGTTTCTGAGACTTTTTCCTTTGGATTGACAACTTCCTTTGAGGATCGAGTCATTTGCACATTTTTTTTTGTTTTTTTGACACTATTCATTTTTTCGTCTTTTCCCTTTTTCATCCTTCAGTCGTTTTTCATTTTTCCTTGCTTAACCTCACTTTTTGTGCTCGGATTTGATTCCGGCTTGGCATACGTCCATGATATTTAAATTCCATGACATCTACATTTTTACTTTTGTAGAAATGCATATTAAATGCTTACTTTCTTTGTAAAAGCCATGAAAATAAGACTTTTTGTAATTATCCATAACTTGAGGGGTTTTTGGGTAGTTAAGTAAAGTAATTATTTTTTGTCTTAGGGACCATTTTGCAAATTAAATTGGAAGATATTTTTAAAAAGGACCTTTTTGCAATTTTCGGAAAATGTGACAAGTGTCACATTCCTATGGTGTCACTTGCTGATTTTGTGGTGGAACCACTTGGAGGCTTAATCTCATGACACATGGAGGTTGGAGATTTACCCACTTGTTGTCCTAGGATTGGTGCACTTGTTGGCATGGATGGTTGACAAGTGTAGGGTTAATATTTAATCTTGGAAGCTTACTTGGATTTATGACAAGTGTAGGACTCACCTTTAGTCTTGCATTAGTGTGTGTGTGTGAGAGGTAGTGCAAGAGCACCTAGTGAGTGGAGAAGCCCACCAATTTAGCTTAGGGTTTACATATTTTAATTCATTCATCATTTTCCTCTCAAGAACCCTAAGGAAGCCACCATTGGAGAAAAGCTTGACTAGTAGCTTTGACTTCATTTTTGGTGCCCTTTCACTCACCTTAGAACTTTGAACTTGGAATACTTTTTGTTCCCCTCATCCTCCTCTTCAAAACCCTTGAAGGATCTAGCCTAACTCCTAGTTTTGCTTTGGTATCTAGAGATTCAATTCTCTAGTGAGGTATTGATCTATTATTTTGAAGTATTTTTATGTCATTATTGAGTGTTTTACATGCATGGAAGAGAAGGACTTGTATTTTGCCCTTAAACTATTTTAACTTCAAATTAATCTTGTTAAATTAAATATAGAATATGAAACTATACTCAATTAACTTTCATTTAGTTTTGGTTTCATGTAATTTGAATTTAAAATGAATTAGTTATGAATTTTTGAAGTTGCAAGCTAGTTGCTGGAAATTTGAAGCTTTTCCTTTTCAGTCCGGAAATGAATTTTTTATATGGAGCTGTGTTGCTTCAATTACCTTGAAATTTTTACTGGAACTTCCTCCATGGGTTTTACACTACTCAGAATTTTTTCACAATTTTAGAGCATTTCTAGATTTTTTTAAAAATCCGAAACTATCTGCTGTCCATGTTTTTATTGTAGCTGGAAAACATATTTTTAGATGATTTATTTCACTAACCTTTTGACATTGCATCATGGCTTAAATTTTCAGTTTTACACTCTCATATGTTTACTTCCAAAATAAATTAGGTTTACCCAATTTGGATGTCAAATGAATTTTTTATGAATTTTCAAAGTTGGAAGCTACAGGCTGAAAATGTGTTTTCTGGGCAGAATTTGTTTCAAAGTTGTGGGTCAAAACTATTTTAATTGGGAAAATATTTTGTTAAACTAAATTTATATTATCAAACAGTGTTTAAGCTTTCATTGGGCTTTGGATTCATTCAATTTGGGTTAGAATTGAATTTTTTATGAATTTTACAAGTTGAAAGTAGCAAGCTAAAAAATCTGTTTTGCGGACCAAAAATTTGGGGCGATTTCATTTCGGTGGTAATTAGGATTTTCATTCCAATTGAGGTAGGGAATGTTTTAGGATTATTTGTGTGTTGTATTGTGTGTTTGCCATGATTATACAACATATATGTATGCCTTGTATCAAATCTAGAAAGCTAGTAATTTTTATTTCTTTGTATAAGATTTAAAATTTATGATGATGTATAACTTTGATTTGAATTATAACATGTTAGGAAATTATGCTTAGATATGTTGGTTAACATATATTAAATTTGGATCATTTGATTAAGAATTACAACTTTTATTTAATATTTATCTTTAGTGAAAGTTTAATTCACATGGTTGTATCAAGCATTAAATCAAGTTGTAATGTGGTATTTAAATAGGCCTTGGCATGTTCTCTAATATAGATTAAATTGAGGGCATTTGGAATTGTTTAAAAATCTAGAGGAAATTAATTAATTAGCTTGATTAATTTTGTTTCAAGTGTTTTAATCACTTAACTTGTCATTTGATGTTATATATATGATGACCATGATATGTCTTTCAATATATATTAAATTGAGGTTATTTGGATTAACTTAGAATTTAGAGAATTTAACTATTTATGTTTAATTAAATTCTACTTTATTACTCCATGGATTTAATTGCATTTTGGAAGTTGTTTCTATATTTAAATCATGGATTTAGATTTGATGTATGTTCAATTGATTACTTTTGAGCATTGGATAACATAGTTGTTACTTTTATATTTATGAGAATATGTTTTTCCTTATTGAATATATTGTTGCTATGTGTAAGGAATTGCATACTTTGTATTTGACATCTTACATGCCATAGTACTTGTGAATTTTGAGCATGTATTGTATAAGTTTCCAAAATTTGGATTGTGCTTGGTAAATAGTTGATATCTTGTATATACATGTTGATATATAAACGTTGTTGCACAATTTGTTGATTTTGGAAACTTGGAGATGTCGTTGTTTGGCTACGGCTAGGACTTGGTTCTAGTACCGGGGATTGTCCCTCTATACAGTGTAGTGAGCACATAGGGAGGTTACCCATGGGCTAGTAACCCTAAAGTAACTATGTTGTCGGTCTGATCCGGCGTGACGTCCGAGTATCCACTTTATTTGATTTCGTATTTCATTTCAAGTTGATAACTAGATGATATCGTAACTTGTGTTCCTTATTTGATTTTCTATTTTGAGCTTAAGATGTAACTTTGTGAAAGCATGCTTCATGCGTTGTATTGGAAGTTTCATTGTTGGTTAAATTGCATCGATATCATAATTTGTGTTTTGATGTTCAAATGTAGTTTAGGAATGACCTTATAGATTCATTTTGAACATAGACGTTAGGTGGCATGACCCACACTTGTTATTTTCGTATTTTGGATTTCAAGTTGAAGACTTTGAGAATCTATATCTTGTTGCCTTGTATAACATGTTTCCATGTTGTTTGAATTGCATGAACAATGTGATTATGATAGAAATGATCTAGGTAGCTTAGGCTGCTCCCTGGGTCTCATCTTGACATAGACGTTAGGTGGCATGAGCCCCTTTAACATGTTTCACCATAAGGTGATAAAATTGTAAAATGCTAGGTCGATGCATGCTCATCTCCTACGAATAGCTTTATGTTACTCACCCCTACGATACTGGGCATATTTCAGGTACAAGACTCAGGATTTGAAGATTCCATTGCTCCTTGGATGGCTACAGTTTCTATGTTTTTATTTTATGCAAGTGTTAGCATAAGATGCCTCTTTGTAGCCTTATTTGTTTAAACTTGTATTCGTTGATTCGTATATGTAAAGTGTACGTAAGTGCACTCTTTTCAATGTATTTAATATGTATGAGATGAGGCCAGAGGCCAATGACATGTATCTCGTTTTCTATGCACTTTTGTTTTCAAAGTTTATTATGAAAATATTGGAAAATGTTAAGTCATTGTTTCATAACTTTCGCATTGGGTGTTGGAATTTCATATCTTTTCTACCCGGACTCAGAATCAAACGATTCTTGAGTCTAATTTTGTTCATTTTTCGTTGTCCTTCCAATGGTGTGCACGGTGGCACCCTTTTTAGTGAGAAATGACCATTTTGCCCTTAGTTCATCTCTTTTCGGGTTAGGCATTCTTGCTTTATTTGCTTAGCTCATTTGAGTTTCGTGGCTTCATGGAGAGTCATTTTGGGGCCTTAGGGATGACGTACATCTCTTGAGGTCATTTGGCTTCTTTCGCTTCCGCATTTCGGGTCCGTTATCAGGTCAACTTCCGGTTCATCACTAACGCACCGGGTTGAGAAATCCGGGTCGTTATAAGGTGTGTATTGAATATAAACAAATAATACATGGAGAGACATGATGGCATACCCTCATGAAAACAAAACATAGTCCTAGAAATGTTTCCCTCTCAAACACCTAAACTACTAAGTAATGGAAAGTTATAAAATGTCTTGGAGATGAACTTCCATCACATCTAAAACCTCCCATAAATTACATTTATCTAAATCCTTAGCTACTCTTGCAATCTTATCATGCAATCTATTTGAACTTGTTTATAACTTAGGTAACACCTTGCTACCAATGCAAAGGGTTGTTGTTAGAAGAATTCCAGATTAATAACTGGTCTTTGCATAACTAAGACTGAATGAATAGATAATGTAGCTCCACCCCCAGTCCAACATAAGGCAGCCCAATCCACCTCTTCAATTTTCTCTATCGCAGCTTCCCATGCTGCTTAACATGTTCATTATGGTTAGAAGTTAATATGTGGTTAAATGTTTTACAACATTTATTTTGTACGGCTGTGAAATTCCAGTTGAATTTCTCAGTGAAGAAAGTTATGTGATGCCACCACAACGTGTAATGCATTACAGAAGGTTTTCGTAACCGTCTGCTTAACTAACTACTCCATTAAATAACCAGGCAAGTTTACTGTTAAGGTGGAACCAACATATAAATTGCAATATACAAAGTTCCATAATTCTTTAATTGATTGTTTATAATATATCCTGAAAAATATATAATGTTGCAGACCTTTGTTGCTGATTCATGCAA